CAACTTTAGAGACACTTCTTTAAGTATTCTAAGTATTGAACTTGAATTCCAATTATACTAAAATCATGAAAAAAACTTAAATAAATTCATTTAGATATTTTATAAAGGCATACATAATTATTCTTTGAAATATAGAAGGTGCATTTTTTAATCCAAATGGCATTACTCAATATGTAAATGATCTCTATTTAGTAATGAAATAAAGTTTTAGCTAATCCTATATATCCATTGGAATTTGATTCTAGCCATTGAATCCATCTAATATAGAATAAAGTTCATGTATTTCCACCGTTTCAAAGATTGCATCAATGAAGGATAATAAAAAAATATTATTTTTTAAAAAATCCATTTGATTTTTTATAATCAATACAAATACATCATTTTTCATTCTTCTTAGGTATAATTACTATTAGAAACAATTACTTTGTTTAAATGATAAGATAAATAAAACTTATTTTAAATAATTTATCTATTTCTTCTTTTCTTTTAGTAGCAAAAGGTGGTTTCATCTTATATCTTGCTTATTTAATTGGTCATACATTTTAATCAAGTTCTATCTAGTATTCAAAAATAATATACTGGAATACTTTTTAAGTCTTCATAACTCTGTACAAAAGCATTTTTATATTCTTGTAATAATTTTGTCAACTTTTCCTTGAACTCTACATTATTTTGTCTTCATATTTTGACTTTTTTGGATTGATCTTAAGTTCCCAAATTTACTTTTTCTACTTGTTTTCTTTCATTAATATTCCATTTAATAATAGACTCTCTTTTAACTTCCTCTGTAACTAAGATTGTATCTAATTTTCTTATCTCTTTTCTTATTTTATAGAAATGATTTGGACACTTTATCAACTTTTCTTCTGATTTGTTTGTTGTTTTATTTTTATTTTTTTGTTATTATTTTCTTTTGAAGTTTTGTATTTTCTTATTGCATTGGTTCAACCATATTGTAATTATAACTAAATATTTTCTTCAATCCCAATAATTCAATATCAGCTACCGGATACATTGAAGATACTCTTTAATAATCAACTTATTCTTTTGCATTAGTCAAACCTCCTTCTCAATTATAAAATTATAAATGTATAGGTTGTTTTGATAATAGATGACATAGATATTTTTATGCACTGATTTTTTTTTCTATTCTTTGAAAAAAATAGTTAAAATATTATGAATCTAAACATATTTAGATTTGCTTATTTAAGCCATGGTTGACCTAATAGCATAGAGTAACTTTGAGACATTGGCTCTATTTTTGTCTTTGTTTATCTAAGTACACCTCCTACATTTTTTTCAATTCTTCTATTTTTTTGGTATTTCTTTATTTTTAATACTTTTCTTTTCTTTGGTCCTTATTGACCTTTTACTTCCATCATCCATCTCTATTATTCTTGTCCTCAATATTGGAGCTTCTCCTAATTCTTCTTATATTTTTTTACTTCTTGATTTATATTTTTATTTATCCTTTGTTCATTTTCACATTCTTAGAATGTTTTTTCTTTTAACTCTTTTAATTCAATCATTTTAGGTTGCTCTTTACTTCCATCTTCATCTTCTTTATTACTACTCTTATTACTTGATTTGGCTTTTTTTATAACAATCTTCTTTTTTTGAACCTTGTTTATCATACAAATCTCTAGTATTACTACATTTGTTGATATATCAAGTTTTTACTCCAGCTCTAAATTGCTAACCGTATAATCTTTTTTTTAAGTTCTTTTAATCCTTTTCTAGTTTTTTTTTTTTTTTTTTTTTTTTTTGCCTTTGTCATCAGAGTCATTACTTGTGTTTTTGGAGTCTAAGTTATATGATTTTTCTTTCCTTTGTATACTTAGTTTGATCTTTCTTATTGATTGTAAAGTTTTTCTAATGAATTAGTCAATAACAAAGCTATGTATTTACTTACTTCTTTCTTTAATCCATTTAGAAACCATGTCTTTTAAAAAAAATCATGGAATTGAAGAATAAATTTAATAGCTACCCATATTACTCTCTTAAAGAATTCTTCTATATTTTCTTTCTTTTGTTGGAGATGTGAGAGATTGTTGATGACTTTTCCAATACATTATCTTTTTTTAAAACAATTAATGAATGCATCTTGAAGTTCTTTCCAAGTGATAAAATATCTTAGATAATGCCATGCATACGATTCAAGTGCTTGCTTTGTAAGTGTAACTAAAAAAATTACTAACTTGCCTTCATTTGTTGTTTCTCTATTGGTTTCACAAACATTATTGAATTTCGTTATGTAAATGTCCAAATCACCCTTGCCTTCAAACTTAGGTAACTCAGCTTTTGTGTGTTTGATTACAAATACTATATTTATTGATGGTCTCTATTGTAATAGTGTAAGTAAACTAAAAAGTTGTATTAGTTTTTCTTTTCAAATCTTCCACTTGTAATTAGGTGTATTTGAATTGGTGTATATTCATTAATAAACTATTTTATGATGAAAGAAATTTCTATTTTTTTCATTAATATTCTTAATATTTTTGAAATTTTATTCTTCTTTAATACTAAAATCTATATATATTGAAGAATATTTTAGTTGAAAACTTATAGATAAACCTTCTCTTCTATTGTATCTTTTCTTTCTTTCAAAATTCTATTAGTCAATACTTTCTTTCTTTATTTCTTCTTCTTTTTATTTTTATAATCTATATATATGATCTTCCTCAAAAATTTATTTATTAAAAGTTCATGACTTCTAGGATATTCAATTTCTTCGCTCATTATATAATATAGTACTTAATATCAATAGTTATTAATTTTATTTTTGACATTAAATAGTGGTTTTATTTTCAACTTTTGTTGAATGCTTGCCTTATTTTGATTTTTGTATTTACCAAGTCTAGATGGCCTCAAAGGCTCTTACATTAGAAAAGTTTTTTACTTATCAAAATTGACTTTATTCATTATTCATTGAAGAAGATCATTTTTTAAAGTTCATTTTTTTTTTCTTCTTTTAATTAAAATTAGATATTATTCTATTTTCTTCTTTACTATTTTATTCAATCTTCATAGCTTGATAGACTATATAAAATTTTTATATACCATCATTGTTTAAAGTTTTCACCACTCTTTGTAAACTTGGTAAATTCCATTCATGAACATCACCCATCTTTAATGAGTATACCAACCTTTATTCATAATTTTCCATATTAATGACTTGAGATTATAAATCCATGGATTTTGATTACTAAAAATAAAGATGTGTCTTCAACATGGTTACTAAATGAATATTGAAATTTTCACATCTTTAAAATAGTAGGATATTCCTTCTATGCTTCTACATAAAAACTATCTTTGAATACACAATAGCACTTTTTACACTAACTTTTCTTCTTTTTAATCATATTTATATCAGTCTATTTATTTTTTATAATTTTTTTTACAAAAAATATTTTATTTATTTATTTTTATGATAAATATAGATTTTTTGATAAATTTTTCAATTTAGATTTTTAAAATATGATAATTTTAGGTTAAAAATAATTAATTTAAAATTTACCATGATATAGCCAAATATTTGATATCCTTGGATTTTAAAACATTAAAAGCAGAAAATATTAGAATACACCTGAAATAAAAATAAAATAAATAAATATAGTTTGTATTTGAATAGATCATGTTATATATATATATATGTATAGATATATATGAGTTTTAAAATATTTAATAATAAATTTTTAATAAATCAAAATATGATATTTTACTACAAAATTTTTAATTTCATATGAATTGTCTCTATTGATACAAAATTAAGAGTAACATCACAATTATTTGGCTAAAAAAAAAAAAAAAAAAAAAAAAAAAAAAATGAAACTTTTAACAATTGCACACTTCATGGTCAATCATCCATCCCTTAATGAACAAACATTCATAGTGACATATTAGAAGGATTTGCACACCATCCATGATATTATTATTTCAAAATACTATCAATAGGGGTTTCAAAAATGGCACTTTTGCAAAACCAAAGGTTTGAATGATATTTTAGGATCATTCAAAATATCACTATTCAAACTTTATTGTGCCTTTGATATGGAGTCAAAGAAGAATGAAATTTGAGGCAAGCAATGCGGTTCTTGATATTTGATCCACTTCTCTTTTGATATTTTGATTTCTAAATAACATACCGACCAAATGAGGTGGGTGATTTGGTAAAGTATCAAGTGATATTTCTAAAACATCATGGGATACTTTGAGCAAATATCATGGGTGAAATATCACCCTAAAAGGCCATGTTTGAAACCCACTAATAGGTAAACCATACCAATAATCGTTTAGAGGAGATCAACCCACATGGTGCTCAACATGTGGGTTCCTCTATGTGACCACCATGGAGCTGATGTCAAAGACAACCAAAGGAGACATCATCCGCTTACTATTATCCAACAGCAAAGCTCAAGAGCAATGCCAAAACATGAAGTCCACAGTGAAGAAAGCTTATTCAGTGGCAGTGCGATGGCGTTTTTTTACGGTCGCAGAAACCAGAAGATGTAGACGCAGGTCGCTGAGCAATGCCTTTCAAATGAGGAACGAGTTGGGCAGGCGGACAAGCACCGAGTGAGGATGCAGCAGTGGATGGACAGGAGGAAAAGCATGAGCATGTCAGTGATGAAGCCTGAGCTCAGGGTCTTCAACCTTTCACTGTCTCTTTTGAGATCATATTGGAGAAGGCGTCGGCTAGTTCAAAACCATCAATCATATATATAGTGTATATAGATATATAGATATACAGTGTATTTTTTTCTCCTTCTGGTACAATGCTGTTTTATTGCAAAACCTGTGAACGTGGTGTTGAACAACCAGTCGCTTGGTTGACTTCGCCGAACTCCCAAGAGAATAGTCCTGGTTAAATTTTCCTATTCGCCTCAATAATGGAGTCATCGGTAAGATTTGAGTGGCTTCCTTGCTGGCATTATAATATAATATTGTGGAATAGTTTTCTCCGGGTGAGGACAACGTTTGCACAAAAAGTCAAATAGCTTCTAAGAATCGAAGCGTGTTAAGGATCTACTCTGTTGTACGAGTCCAGAGTGGTTCCATCGACTATGATGGTCTCTGGCCTCAACTCTCGACAGGCCGGCCTTCTGTAGGGCTCCGGAGCTTAGATGCTAGCTCAGTTTCATGCTTTCTGTAGTTCTTTCCAACAGGATTTGATTCCATGCAATGGAGAAGAAGATGAATCTGAATCTCTTGACACTGGTGGTACTGGTGACTCTTCCAACGTGTTTCGCGTACAATGCTACAATCGGATGGCAGACATTTAACAGTAAGTGATTGCAGTAGAGCTGTGATCTAAGGAGGCGGTGTGGCTTGTAATTTGGGGAATACTAGAACGGTGGCCGTTTGGAGGTTTCTGATGAGGCAATAGAGATGATTGTAATGTGGCTTGAGGTGGGGTGATCGACCTCTAGTGCATGGGAATGGCAAGACCGAGAGTTTGAGTGAGATTCGGATGTTCGACAAGACTAGCTTGCGATGTGCGAGGCAGACTCCGCCAGTGAAGGCAGGAGGAGACGGAGTCCACTAGCGCGCGTCTCCGCGGTGGACTGTGAGGTTGTGATGCTATGGTGTTCGATTGAGTGTAGAGTAACTTTGGGTTAGAATGAAGATGTGTTCGATGCTTAATTGTACCACACCGAGATCTGTCCACTTCCAGTTTCCTCCTGAGTTGGATCCACTCACTGTTCGTATCGGTGTTTTAGATGTAGTTTCCGATACCGTTCTGAGCGTGACCCAGAAGTCTTCAACTGAGTCGTGTTACTTGCTAGTTTGTTCCTTTCAGCTCCTCATGCAGAAGCTGTTGACTAGCATGTGCGTTTGAGGTTTTGGGCTTATCGATTTCGTACCCGAATATGCAGGGCTTAAGAACTGAACGGTCATTTGGCAGTTCGAATGATGAAGAATTCTGTCTAAATCTGCATGTGTCGCTTATCCCACATTTTCTGGGTAGTTTTCTTATGACCTCTTTTTAGGTTGTGGACGTTTACCGGAGATGTAAGCTACGACAAGTGGGTTGATTATTACATTTAAGAGCTGGTATCACAAGGCAGTTCATTTACTTAATAGGTACTCTGCTTTTGCTCTATTAACGGAATCCATCTTGTGTTGTGGTGCAGAGGGTCCTCCCTTGGTTATAGCGAACGGTGGAACTTCAGGCCTGTATCCAGATCAAACGTTAAGAGCCTATAGAGACGCTGCCAACAGCACCAGTTCTCCTTTAGCTTTGCTATGTGACCTGATGATATCTAAGGACAATTTTGGAATTTGTCGCCCCGGTTTCTTTTTGGAAATGTCAACCAATACAACAAGTTACCCAGCTACTGCGAAGAGGAGCACATACTCGGGCTATGGTCAGAATTTGACTGGCTATTTCGCAAATGATTTTACTTTGGCAGAACTCCTCACAGTTACAGGTAAAGCCTTCGCTTTGAAACTTGATTTCCTGGATTCTTTATGTTGGTAATATTTACATTCTGTTACTGTGGCACAATTCGAGCTCTTAATCTTCCAGAGCTGTTTTCTCACAGGTGGTTGGTAAAGGTTTCAGAGGCATCCTGTTTCGTTAGTGATATAGATGTTGAGAACTAATGCTGCAAGATTTTGAGGTGGAGGTTGATCACAGTTTTAAACCTCATGCATTGTGTATGCCACTGCACCGTTGTAATCCTTGGTGCTCATTATTAGTGTAGCAACGAGGCCTTGGCAGAATTGCTGTTTCTAGTTGCGTGGTACGCACATGTTTGAGACTACTTTTTTCATTGTTTCCCCCCTTCCCTGCTTTTTCTCTTCATGTTTCTACTTAATGATTACGTTTAAAGCATCGGTGTGGCTGGTGCCAAGATCCAACTCGTGTTCTCACCTACCATTCGACCGAGCAGGAATGCGGACTAGCAATGCGCGACCTCCGATATTCACTCAAGAAACACTTGCGGCACCCGAAAATGTCTCGCAAATAGCTGCAGAATTTGGAGTTGCGACCTGGATAAATGTAGAGGTATAGCTTTGTCAAAAATACAATCATCTTGTATTTTGCGTCATGAAATTAAACATTTTCCTGTGATTTTGATGCATCAGAGAATGTGGTAGTGATGTATCGTGCAAGTTAGAGACCGATGTTTCACTGTGAGGACTTTAATCACTCGTGCACTGTTTGCAGTTTCCTGAATTCTTCCAGGAATATCCTGCACCGAACAGCCTTCTTAGTTATCTTACCTCGTTTTTGAAGACAAACAAAGTACAATATTTGTCGGTCACTAACAGTTCAATTTTGAAATTGATTGCACCCACGAATGGTACGCGACTTGTCTTGAAATTGTTGGACTACGATGGCTTGGTCGATCCTCTATTTCAAAATCTCACTGACATCGCCACTTATGCTCAAGGTGTTCTAGTTCCTAATAGCTACGTCATTCCGAAGAATTTTACGGGCTATGGTGTCTATGAGGGACAAGCAACCACCGCTGTCCAGGATGCGCACAAGGCCGGCTTGGAAATTTTTGTGTACGGATTTGCTAACGACCGTCAGCCCTATATCTACAACTACAGTAAAGATCCTGTTCTCGAAGTTTTGAGCTACGTGGGGGACTCTTTCACTGCGGATGGGATCGTCACAGATTTCCCGAACACTGCTGCGACGGCAATACGTAAGTGCATGCTCCTGCAGACATAAGTGTCGAAATGTATCGTGTACCGACTTGTCTGCACTTCTGAGTGTTGTCATCACTTGGATGAACCTTCGCAGGAAATTGTGACTGGGATGTGTTGATTTTGAATGTGCACACCGGATTTTTGTGTTCGTTGAAGCATTTTTCCTGCCAGATGAAAACTGTAAATGCTCCTAAGATTGTCTGATTGATGTGGTGTACTCACGCTGTACTATTGGCGCAGATTGCTACCCAGATGGATTTGATAAACCTTCAACTATCCAAGGTATGCATTTTTCTCTGCTGTTTGCCATCTTGACAAGACTATTGATGATAGATACGTTTGAGCATGTGTTTCTCAAGTGCTGGTTCTGTATAGGCGCTTCAATGTAATTGTTTGGCAGTCTAAAGCTGTTTCTTCCCTAGCCTTCGCGTTTTGAACGAATGGTTGAAAGCGGGGCAAGTCACTGCTAACGTTTGAATAATCGTGGGTAGTTCCATGCTGTTGGTAAGAATCGAAACATGCTCATCCTGAATTAGCATGTTTCGATGTCTGGACTAGATTTCTCGCTGAATTGAGAATGGCCGGTCCGTTCTGCAGATTTGTGATGATCTAAGGGTGAAATGTCTTTGGAAATGTTACTTTGTGCAGCTAGTACGCCAAAATTGACGAATCCAATTATCATAGCAGAGGACGGTGCAAGTGGAGACCTCCCCGGTAGTACTATGGCAGCATATTTGAAAGCCATTGACGACGGTGCTGATTACATCGAGTGTAAAGTACAGATTACAAGTGATGGTGTACCTATATGTCGTGATGGAGAGAACCTCTTGAACAATACCAACATTGGCTCCTCTCAAGCTAAGCTTGAAAAGTATTATACAGCTTATCCTGACTTCGGATACGGAGTTTTCTCCTTCGATGTTCCTTCAACAGAAATCCAGAATTTGAGAGGTATTTTGAATTTCAGTCATTTGTGCGTTTCCATCGTGATTCTTAAGCTGATTTTTGGTTGAGTAACATAATTAGTTACTTTAAATATCTATTGTTTCTATTTAGCAGTTTCCAGGATCACATCATTCCTATGAATCCTTTTGCAGCCAATGATCTTGACAAGCTATAGTATGTTATGTTACACTTTCCAAGGAAGTAATACATCCCTATTCAAGTTACTTATATTTTTTGCACTGCAATTTTCTTTAGGTATAATTAGCAGACCAAATAATAGTACTTCTCGCGACCCTGCAAACGATGGGAAGGAAAGCATATTAACATTGAAGGAGTTTCTGAATCTTTCGAAGATCTATACAAACACTGGTCTCTACGTAAATGTTCAGGTAGTATTTTTCTCGATCAAATGCTTGGTTGCAAAAGATCCTCAGTGATTGGGAATTTTCTATGATTTGCTATTGTTCAGCGTTCTCATATATACAGCTGTCCCGAAGGCTCCATCGTCCTAGGTTATTGGTTGTTGGACTAAGTTGAGTTTCTTCTTAACAAATCTCTTTGACAACTGGTTTGTTCTTCAGAATGCCTACAAAGTGTACCGTTTAAAAAATCTGGACATGGTGAGTGCGGTTGCGACTGCCCTAGCTGTCGCAGATCTCACAAATGCGGGCGACAAGGTATTGCTAGCTTCAGAAGACACTTCCGCTTTGAATGCATTCCAAGAGGTGATACCCAACGTGCGGCTCGTGTATGTGATCGCTAATAATGAAATGGATTACTCAGTGCCGAGAGAGGTGCTCAAGGTATGCTACTCTGCTTGACTGTCAAGATCTCCTTGGTTGACGTTGTTTCAATTCAGTAGTCTTTTGAATCTAAAGCAGCTTGTCTTTGGCAGTGATGTTGCACCATACCATTATGAGTTAGTGCACTTTGTATTGCTTTTTCTTTTCTCTTCTCTTCTTTTAAAGTATATATGTATATACATATGTGATCTATTCCCTTTTTCATTTCGGTAACTGTAAATTCCTAGGGAGTGCGAAGAAATTTTGAAATTGTGTAATCTGAAAATGTTCTAGCCTTTCCGGAGAAGTGCCAAGTCTGCACATTATCAACATTGCTTATGAAACATACATACTTAATGTTGGGATTGTCGGTTCGTCCTGCAGGAAATCAAGAAGTATGCAGATACCGTTCATATATATCGCAGTTTTATTGATCGTATCGATCCCTATACATATTTTGTGAATAAAATGACATCCGTGGTTCAGGAGGCGAAGGCCCTCAACATGACAGTGTTCTATGCCAGTATCAGTAATGAATATCTAAATCTCGCATTCGACTATAGAGCCGATCCGCATCTGAAGATGTACTATCTTCTCCAAGAGTTACAATCGAATGGAAAGTCACTGTTGGATGGTTTCCTCACGGTTTATCCTGCGACAGTGTACAACTTCCTGAACAGTGAGTCTTGTGCATGACTTTCTTTGCAGTTCAAGGAGGAACACAAACCTCCATTTTCTCCCCCAGTGAGGGGGATTCAGTACTTTCCAGCTTCTGATAAGTGATGGATTCAATTGGGTTTCTTAGTTCTTACGACTACTGTGGTTGTTTTATGGCAGACAACTACTGCTACAGAACCTTGGGAGGTGCAACGAACCGCAGCATGTCAGGCAGGAATGATCCTATATACCGAGTGTATCCTGACGCCACTGCAATTTGGTACATACCACCGGCATTTCCAGTATTAAATGTAACTCAAGGCCCAGTGTCGTACGGTAACGTGGTGAATGCAACTCCACCTGCTCCGCCGCCGAAGCCATCGTCCAGCCCCAGTTTGGGATCCAATCTCCCCTTCACTCTTCTCGCTTCCGCAGTTCTCATCTTCATTCTAAATTTTACACTGCAGCAGGTAATCATCGATGGTTAGCAACATCGAAGTTTTGGACTGGGTAATGAAATCAAGTTTGGATTGTTTGGCTTGAGTGATCTTTATATTTTTTTTAGCTTTGCAGGAGCCCCCACAAGGTGAAATTGGCCATGTGGGTAGAAATAGTTGTCTCCACGATATCACGCAGTTGTTGCCAGTTTTGGAGATGAATAATTTGGAACCCATTTGTAGAAAATGAAATGTAACGAAGCATACATGCTCTTGGAGTTTGTTCATTGTGCATCTAGAGTGTCCATAGCTGATTTGGTTGTGGATCATAGGGCAAAAAATTCGTTGTGTAGTTCTTTCTTTTCATCACACTTTGTTTAGTATGTTCCAGTCAAATTTTGGATGGAGAGCAGCCAATGGGTATAGTTGCCAATAACAATTTTGTCAGATTTATTCATGAAATATGTTATTGTTGCAAGAGCCGTGTAAATGTTTCTATTTGGCGATTGTAAAAGAATTTATCTATTTTCATGTAATGCATATAGAGATGATATAAATGTATACCATTTTGTTTAATTGTTATTAATGAATATTGGTTTATAATATTACATGCTTTTATAAGTATAAATGTATATGTTAGAGTTTGTGATGAAGATTATTAATTTTTGGTAAGAATTAGATTAGCATCTAAAAAGCTTTGACAATATCTCACAGAATATTTTTATTTCTCTAACCTTTTTTTATAATTCTACTCAATTCTATTTATTTAGACCATATAAGTTTTTATGACAAGAGTTGGATATATCTTTTTACAAGTTACAAAAATATTAAATTAAAATTATGTACTAATCTTACACATTTTTTATGACACAAATATTTAAAAAATATATATACTATAGAACTAGTTGTATGGTTTCTTGAACTATGATCCTAATATACCCCTAAAACTTACGAGTAACAAATAAATCGTAATTATTTATTACTCGTATATCGTTTTGTCACCCAATTGTCGTTCCTGTTGTAAAATTTCTATTTTCTATACTAAAAAGTAAAATTTACATTTCATGTAATTAGTTCCGATGCACTTGCATGTTTTTTGTCAATAATAACATCATGTCCAAAGCTATAACCTTGACATTGGTTAATTTTTTTTTCTCTTTACATTAATAAGTTCATATTTTCAGGTTATACAAACCAAATTTTCTTTTAAAAAATAATAATGAATAAAAACTTATTTACAACATCAAATAAAAATAAGAGAAAAATGTCAAAATTTAGACCGCAGCAATGGGGTCAAGCTTCTGGGAATCGTCAACGAACGAATGGAACGATCGTTCGGGCGTAGAAATGGACTCCTGTCCCGAATGGTGGACGTGAAGTTGTTTCTGCGTCGACGAAGTTTTTCCGTCCTTCGACAGGAGGTGGGTCAAGTGATGCAGTACGATCCGATGAAGAGGTTCATTCTCCAGCGTGAACAGCTCCCCGTCCAGCAGCTGCATGTTTCTAGAGCTTCTCAGCGGAGAGTTTTTCACTCCGCGAGCATTGATTGCAATGACGCTGTCGTTCTGAAACAGAGTCTTCCACACGAATGTATGGAGCAGCGTTGTGATGAACAGGGTGAAGACAGTTGCGGAGGACACCGAGGAGAGGACGATGGCGAGTATTTTTGTAATCCATGAGGAAGCCGCGTGGGAGTATTCGATTGACGCTATTGCTGCCCCTGTCATTGGAAACGTGTACGCCCACCACGATAATGTAAATCTGCCAACGCCACGTTGAGATTGGTGAGAAATGGATGCGACACCCGCACATTGTGTTTTAATAGCAAGAAACATACAGATGGATTGATATTGGATTATGGAGTGGAAGATAGGGTTTAGCCTTACCGAATCCCGCGGAAGAAATTGATGCGGACGACGAGCGAAGTGTACAGGAATAGAGCGATGGAGAAAACGATACGGGAGATGTAATCGAAGTCACCCGTGATGTACAACCACGCCACGCTCGCCGTGCTTGGAGCAGCCACGAAGAGGAAGAACACTGGGTGGAGGTCTTTCGGGAGCTTCTCATTGGTAGGTAATCTTTGGTAGAGTGTGACAAAGAGCACTATGTAATGAGCGAGGCCGACTGACCAGAAAAATATGGCAGGCTCATTCCACTTCACAATGGCAGCGAGAAGAGACCCTACGAAGTTTCCGACAATCGACAAGTGCGTTGATGGATTCGCGACTTTTGAGAGCCTCCTCTTTCCGCCGGATAACCATTGGCCATAGAGCTTAAGCTCGAGAATAAAAATTGGTGTCATAAAACAGCAGAAAACGGCTGGATGAACAGATTGAGCGATAGAAGGGGGTACTCCAATCGCTAAAAACATTCCTGCGATCCAAGGCGCGAAGAAGAAATTGACACGCACAGGGTGAAAGTATTCCCGCCTCACAGCTTCGAAATAGAACAAAACCTTCAAGAGATAAGTCATAGAGATGACTAGCAGAGCCAAGAGGGCTATGCTCCACAAGAAGATATTAATCTCTTTCGGAATGTGTAGAAACTCAAGCTCGGGGGAGAGGTGAAGATTTTTCCACAGTATGGCCTGGCTGCCCAAGCCAAGACAAACTCCGAAACAATTCAGTGGAAACCGAAGTAAGAACGGCCACAGCTCACCTTTGGGTAATATTAAAACCTCGTGATCCTGCACATCAAATTAACATTTTACACGAGATATCACGCAGTGAAAGTGATCACTTATGTTCCACTTGATCCAATGATTTAACCAGATTGCTTGAACGGAAAGACCATTCGAAAGCGGTTGATGAGAAGAAACTTACCTTCAGTTCTTCTAATTCTGCTCCCTCTAATGCATCGAAGTAGCGACTAGGCTTGACCGATGGAAGATCACTTTCTTTGTCTTCATCAGACCCCAAATCTGGAGCCTCTGCAATGCTTTCCTGCCCTTCAACCCTTGCGGAGGAACCTTGCCTGCACTCAGAAATTGCTAGACAGAGCAATCACTTTCTTTAGAAGGATTTTTCGTTCCTCATCATTAGATCCTTCATTAGTAGCGTCAAGCTATCTTGAAGTACAAATTATTCTTTTTTGTTTGGTTTGCTCGTTAATTTCAGGAAGCAACTTATATCTCAAAGCAGCAAATACGACCTAGTCTTGTAAATTGGAGGAGGATTCACCTGTCATATCGAGTGGAACGCGTTCGGAACTTGTCGTAGGGTGCTTGATTGTTTACCGTCTTCGCCTGAGCTTTTAATTCTGGGTGCGATCTGGTCCCAAAGAACTCTGCAAAATTTTGGGAGCTGAACCTGCGGAACTTGCGGTCAGCATTTGACGGTCCACCTTCATTATGTAGTGTCGGCCTCAAATCGGGTGATTCGGTCGGATTGTAGACCGGCTTGCGTTCAGATTTTGACATTGCCACGCTCGAATTTAAATGCTTAATTTGAATAGGTACTTCCGGTGCAGAGTTTTGGCCTTCTAATTTTCTCCCTACTGAAATTTGATGCATTCCAAAGGACGTCGTTCGAAGGGAATTGATCTGACTATCATGCGGGCTACATTCACCATTGTCTAAATTGAAATTGGTATCAAACTGAGTCGCTACCATAGCAGCGGCCATGACTTCCGACAGAATTAAAATTTCGTTGACTGCAGAATTTGGAACACAGGTTAGAAATAAGAAATTCAAATTAAAGGAGTAAAAACTTCAATCAGTTTCTAGTGAAGAAGCACATGTTCTGCATCTGATTCTACAAACAAGCCAAATATATAAATTGAAAGCAAATACTGGTTAAGCTTTAACTAACATTATGCCATATATTACGCTTCACGTCACCAACTACAATACTAACGCTTACCACGCAACCAGTTTCCATGTATTTAAAATCAGTTCGCCAATCTTGCGAACTCCAAACGCCCTACAGCTTGCACTCTACTCCTAAAACTTTTGACGGTGGAAGCGGTGCAAAGACAATATTTCGACAACACAAAATCAAGATGCCCGGTACAAAGAAATCCTTTCGGAATTGTTCCGGCATGGTTGTTGAGGGACCCGACTGTAACAAGTCCACCACTACACACAGGATGCACACGTCGAGAAAAGAATATGAACTGAACTCACTGGTTGAAATTCGCAACATACCTGGCGTGGTATCAGCTCTGGTGTGTATTCAGGCTGTTCTCCGAATACCAACAGAAGACTTCAAGGTTCAACTCCTCCATTGCTGGTAACTGAATCTATTACACCTTCTCTAGGACACCCACAGAACATCAACAATGGCCTGTTGATGTCTCAAATCGGCATTTCGAGATCTCTTGCTTCTCGTCCACGACGATCAAACCTCACAAAGAATAATTGTCCCTCCATATCGTATATATCACTTCGACAGTGAGTACCAGTTTCTGCAACGCGTGCAAAGGGCTGAAATCGATTTCTGACCAAAAGTCTGGCAGTTTTATCGTACTGCATGCATTTCGGTATCCTGATTAGTTGGCTGCGCTAACAACTAACTTGTTTCTACATTCCATGGTAATAACGAATAATTTCTCCCATGATCGCGATCCAAAACAATTCTGCCAGTCGGTCACTAATCAATTCAAGCACCTCCAAATGCAACGTCTGTCAGTGATAAACGAAAACCATTCTCGTGTACAACCACCGGATCAACCGGCAGCTGTGGCAAAAACCAGCAAGTGAAAATCTTTACAATTGAGGGTCAGACACGGATTGCAGTCGAGTGCCTTCGACGTCACCATTCTAACCTCGATCGATCTTGCTGTTACATTTCACCCACACGGACACTCCAACAACCCCTGAAGTGAAAAGAGAAAAGAAAAGAAAAGAAAACAACAACAACAACAACAACTCTAGTCCGTGATGCGAAAGCCAGCAAGCGCCGAAAAAGCTCCGAAATCCCACACAAGAAATATTCTCCTCCCTCACGAGCACCCGAAATCCGAACGTTCCATCACGGGACACACCAAACAATCCGTGACAGAGGACTTCGGAGATAATAAAGCAACCAAAATACACCCATCTGTGACTTGTCCGTGAACATCAATCTCAAAATGGTGACGTGGACTGGCAACTGTACACTCTATATTCTTGTGGAGCTAGATTTTAGGAATACGTGGCAGAATTCAGGCAGAATACGTGGCAAGGAAGTCCCCAGGAATGGCAACTTTCGTGAGGCCTTTCTTGCCACGTTTCGGAGTTCTATAATCAAATTCCAGGTCAGCAGCCCTAACCAGATTGCTTCAATGCAACGTTTACCTGATTATACTTTAAGTGGCTATACTTGATCACATTAACTTGTCTATGTGGTATCAAAATTAAAAGGTGTTTCACTTTGTGCAACGACCAAATGTAAATTTTACTATTAAGGAATATTTATCCAAGTATTCGTTTATAAGTTGCAACTGTGATTGTACATAAACATGTTTAAATCTTTGTTCAAAGATTACAACAAAAGTAAACAGGTATTTGAGCATTATAAATAGGGGAATGTTAAATAGACCGGGGTTTTTATTAAATTGACTTACTCATGATGAAGAATATGGTAATTGTGGTGAATGTGGTTGGCTTTCATTGGTTTTGGATCTCGAAGTGGAGAAATGCATCTAGAGGTCATTTTTCTTTTTTCATGATGGTTAGAATGGGTGGGTCAATTTAGTAAAAGCCTATGCCTATTTAACATTCCCCTACAAATATATCACTATATATAACTATTCACACTAATATTTAAGATTTTCAACTTTTAATTGTTAGGTAAATTTTTATATTACAAAATAATTCTGATATTGGAATATAAATGATCTTTTAATTTTTAAAGCTATAAAATTTAATCCAATAATTTTTCACGGGATGTTTTTAGTTATTTCTGAAGTTTTTAGAACAATAGGAACACAAACTAGTCATTAAAGTATCAAACTTTAATGTTGAAAAGCATACAATTAAAAAATAACAATCACAGGATGAAAAGTTCAGAATTTTTTCTATACAACAATTTGAGTAATTAGGTGAATGATTATACAAAGTCAGTTTCTAGAATATAAAATATTTAAGGAATCATTGAATTGAAGAACAGAAACTTTTGTTGTGTGCTGGCACAACAGAAATTAAATCTTTCATGAGAAAATGATCACATGATGTGCATACATATGTATGTTTATTTAAACCTTTTATTTGTGTTTTAAAGGCATATGGATATGGATATATATATATATATATATATAAAATTAAATGATTGATTTAATACATTAATTTATTTATTTATTAAGAGCATATGAATATTTTAGTTCTAATAACATAATTTTTTTTATTTATATACATATAATCTTTTGATAAGAGAATTAAATTAATTTTATATTACAAGCTTATATAAAATCTTTGGATTATATTGATATTTAAGTATGTATTATATACCACTTATATACTTAGTAATAAAAATAATTTTTATCAAAAAATAAATTAGAATCTTATTAAATAATAATACTATATTTTAGAAAACTTCAAAATTAAGCCTAATATAAAAAAATCTAATATATTGTGATGATATTGGTTTTTTTAGTTTTTTTTTGAAATTAAATTTATTAATATTATTATTATTATTGGTTGGAAGTGTGATAGTATATGGAGTGCCGACTAAAGAGAATAGGATTTTGTGTGGGGGTTATTTATATTGTGTTCTTGGCAAGGCTAAGGTTGCATAACTTAACAATAGTTTGTCAAAAATGATACATAGTAGTTAGATAGAATAAGCTTGTTATTGCCACTTAAATTTTATTTTTTTAAAGATGTCTTATCCAAAATGTATTAGAAAAGAAGACGGTTCTAGTAGTGGTTGCACAATATTGCTTAACAATCTTAACATGTAGTTGAACATAGAAAAGACAAAAGATACATTATTGCAACTTATAATCTACACCAACAATTTGGTCACGTGCATCAAACTCAAGACTCTTTATGTGAGTCCTTATCCTTTGATTTTTCTCATAGTTATGTTAGGTTATTTTTTAAATAAGGTGGTTAGATTATGTTGCAATGCCACCATTGTCTACTTCATGGGTGGCAAGTTAGCCACTAACAACCTATCATCTTGGATAAAGAGGCCTAAAATCCTCATGAGTGGTTCTATTAACCTTGAGAAGAATTTAAGGTGAGTTTATATTTATATAAATTTCTCTTCCAAAGAAATATTGTGCCACGTTTTAATTCTTTTATTATATTAATTAGCTTTTTAATTATGCACATTTCAAGCAAGCAATCTTAAATTTGACTTTTGTGTAAGATGGCATTTGGATGGTATGAATTCTAGTTCTTTCAAAAAAAAAAAAAAATAAATAAATAAATCACTTGAATTGCTTTAAAAGAGCTCTAAGTAGAATCTATTCTAATGGTTGTTGAGATATCTTTCAAAAAAAGCCAACTCTTACTATAACCTCAACTTCTACTAACTTTGTCTCTACAACGGTTTTAAATCAGATTATAAGTAATCAAGATATATTGGCATCTGAGGCAATTTAAAAAGGAGAAGTTATTCATTCTATCATTTTGATCAGCACACAAATTGAAACATCTCAATTAGGGTTGAAAACGGACTAGACTGAGATCAAAATCACACCGTATTCTAGTGGTGAAAACGAGGGCTTTCAAGTTGATCGGGAGAACCAAGACATGGTACCTATAAGGAAACCTCGAGACTGATGTTATTGTGGGCCTAGAGCAAGCAGTTACTCTAAGCTAGATACATGATACTCCAGCTACAAAAGCTCCAGGGGATGCAGTGGTGTGTACTCCTCCACTCCAAATCCAGCAATCAGATTTGTCCCTTGGGGTGAACTTTGCAGATACAATCCTGATTGGTGATGCAAGTAATTTTGCGAGTGCTGCAGACAAACCAAACAATGATCAGATCCAACATGCAACTTCGCGACAGCTATGGAAAGACTGGAACTCATGGACAGGGCAAACAACTCTGAGAATGTAACGGCAGATCTAGTATCAGTGAGTACAGCTATTTCAAGTCAATTGGAGCTGATACCTCATGTGACAAACGCACAAACTACGAGCCGAATTGCGGCAGAGCTAAATGATACAGGGACTGTCTTTAGTAAGAAACAAAATCAGTGCCAGATTACACAGGACGGGAGTGCAACCTTCTCACCAAGGCAGCAAGGAAATGATGTGTATAATACCAAAAAAAAAAAAAAAAAAAAAAAAAAAAAAGGCGAGACAATACGGCAAAATAACATAATAAAGAAAATCAATATTCATAGAACAACAGTGAATCACGTAAACTAAAATTTTGGTGTTCTATTAAATTCAATATAGTAGGATGTGTGGTGACTATGAATATTTTTTTTTTCTTCTATTGATTTATTTTTAGCTATTTGGACTAGATTAATTATTGATATTCAATATAAAAAATAAAAAATAAATCTTTAGTTAAGAATTTCTAATAAAAAAATAAAATAAACTTAAATTGATCTTAATTTTTTTAGAATATGTATTATGAGAATAGAGAAGAAAGGAGTCTTGGTATGATTGACCTTGAAGAAGTCTCTAAAACATTTTTAATTGAATGGATTGTAGGTATCTTACAACTTGGTTACTTTAATATCCAACAATTCTTACAATTTAAAATGATAAATATAAGACTTATTGCAATTTGATGTTGGCTTTCATATTGTGCTGTGGCTTTCATTCTTAAATATAAATAGAGCACTAAATTCAAGAGATGGAGTAAAAATTTGTAAAGTTCAGGCTAAAATGTACCATTATTTTTTACCTAATTTTCCAAAAAAAATTCATTGAGTATGGAATAGATTCTTATGGTAGAATTGAATGTTTTCACCTATAAACTTTCATCTTGATTTATTTAAAGCAGCTTTTTTACACTCAAACACATTATAAAGAATAAAACATCTATTCAAAGAATATTCAAAAATCCTTTCTTTTGAAGAAACTTTGATAAACTATAAAATATCTTATGGTAATAGAAATAGTTATCTTTAGGAGGTTGTATACTCTTTTATTCTTAAATCCTAGAAATCCCTTCTTTAATAGGATTGAATTGGATTATATTAATTAGTAGACAATCAATAACTATTTGTGGTTTTCTAATTCTCTAGCTAACATAAAAGAAGTCTAAAAGGACAATTGATTTACCTAATATTAAAGTAATAAAATATTTTACTAATTACAAAAAAAAATTACAAAAGAACTATCTCATTTCAAATGTAACATCAAAAAAATATAATATAATACTAGACTAAATTTTAAAATTTAATTAGAGTGAGGTCTATTATGAAGAAGCTATGTTAGTTTGGCTCATATTGTATAAATATATTGCATTCAATATATAGAGAAGAAAAAATGATCTACTTATTAATATGAACTTTATCATGTGCTTGTTACATAAACCTAAATCTATTAGATACTAATTTTAAAAGTTGTTGTAAGCTCAAAAAACTTAGAATTGGTCTATTTTTTTTTCTTATATAAATTGACTTTTAATCCTTGAAAATGGAGACTGTAGAATACATTCTTTTAGAAACATGTTAACTATGCACATAAAATTTCTTCTAACTTTAACTGTATGCAAAAACATTGGTTGCTAATTCAAAGACTTTGCTTATAGACAATCAACTTACCATAAGTCTTACTCTTATCTTTGCCTATTTAGATATTAGAGGTTAAGTTTATTTCTCTAACTATTCACCTCATCAATGCATTGAGTATATCTTGTTTTTGTATCAATTTTTTTTTCAATTAATATTATCATTTTATTTATACAAAGTAATAAAAAAATTATTTATTAATTATATTCTTTATACATATTATCTATTGTATACAAATTAATAAGTATTAAATATTTTATGTGGTGATATTTTTATTTTTTAATGCATCCAAAAATAATACAAAAAAAAAAAATATGATCATTGTATTATCAAACTTATATCAAACATAACACTTTTTTATTATTAGTATGTACATCATAACATAATAACATTTAAAAAACCAGAATAACAACAAACTCTTTTATGGGTATAATTGACTTTTTGAATATTTATTCAATAATAAATGATTATGGAAAAAATTAAATTTATTATGTAAATAAAATTTTCTTTATGATTAAATAAGTGCAGTCTTTTTATTTTTTATTTTTTATTTTTTAAAATAATAAAAAAATGAATGTAGAAGTCATTGCACATGTTCAAAATTATTTTTATTTATAGTCTGAAAATTTGTGTCGTTTTTGATAACATATATTTTATAACACATCCTTTTACAACACGTATGTACTCATTTAAAAAAGAATTGAAAGAAACAGTTACAATGTTAACAAAACGAATTTTTTCTTGTTTGTATTTGTATAAATTAAGTGTATTTAGTTTTTTTTGGAATATGATTTCAAATCGAATCTTCACTTTAATAAGATAGATTTCTGATTCTGATTTTCATTATTATGATTTTTTTTTAATATGTATTTAAGATCAGTTTTTTAATATACAATTTTTAAGTATACTAAATACTATTAAAATGATTAAATTCAAATACGAAAAATTACATCAAAAAATTTCGATTTGAAATATATATGTATATAAATTTTGAAACTTTCAGAAAAATTAACTACATAAATATTAACTGAAATAGCTCATTTTATGTTTATGAATTACTTACTTAGATTATTTTCATAATGTAGCAAAATACCAAAATATTCATTTTAATTAACATTCAACCTAATTTTAAAATTAAAGTTGGATTTATTTACATTTACATAGTAATATTCTATGTATGTAACTAGATCATAGATTAGATATTAAATTTCTAAATTAAAGAATCTATATTTATTAATATATAATGAATATTTTAGTGGAAATTTTAATTTAAATTTTACATGCACTTGAGACAATGTTATAAGAGTTTATTGAAATCAAATCAAATTATTTGTAGAAGTTCAATATTAAAGAAAATTAAAAACATAAAACTAGTATTATCTTTAGATAGATAGTATAGGATCAAACTATGTTTATTACATAGAATTATACCATTTTATCACATTACATAAAAATCGTAATACAAAATAGTATCAAAATTTAATATTAGTTCTTATAATAGTAAAATTTATCTTTAAAAAAATATTTTTTAAAAAATTAAATTTTAGAATAACTATGTACAATCTAATATTTTTTAAATTTGACAAAAAATCAAAAGTCCTCAGGTGCAAAAAATTATCTAAAATTTTTATTAGTAATGGCGATAAACAAAGAGATTTATCTTTTACAACAATAAAATTATCTTGCAGCCATATAAAAGAGTAACAAAAAGGAGTAGATTATGCAGTTGCCATAAAAACTATCATAAATATGGATGTATCAACAACTAGGATGAAGGACAACAGAAACCTTCACCCTCATCCATCCAAACGGTGAAGAATCATCCACATGCCACCAACTAACTGACATGGCAAGGCCTGGGGTTCTCCACCAATAAGCTCCGTCTCCAAGTCCTTATTTTAAAATTCCTCGGTTCCCGCTCCAGCTCGCAGGTTCTTGAAGCGCGCTCTCCCGAGCTTTCCCATTCTTTCCGTCGTCTTTGTTTCTTTGAGGGACTTTATAAGCTTGTTGAGCTTCGAGACCGCAGTCAAATTGAAGGCTCCGCGGGAGATTGTAGCCTCGAACGCCCTCTTCGCCGTCTTGACCGCCTTAGGTAGAGAGACTAGGCCGCTGCCTCAGAGCTTATGGAGGCTTGATTGCAGATTTCCTTGTCTGATATTTTTTCGAGCTCTGACCAATTCTTGGTGATGGTATTCTCTTGCGTCGCAGTGTGGAGCTTTGTGTGTAGGTGTTTTTGGTAACGAGATTGATGCGGTGGTTGAGTTTACAAGAGTAGGGGAATTGAGATGAGTAGCGAACACTTTTAACAGTTCTCTTTTTTGACACTGTGATTGATGTGTGGTGTACTTGTGTGAATTTTGGGAGTGCGATCAGGGGTGGTTTCGTGTTGCATTAATTCGTTTGATCGGGGTTGAATGAGCTGTGTGTTCTCAACGTGGTTTCGTGTTAGCTAGTTTCCGAAATTCGGCGTTCTTTACTGTACTTGTGAATTAGTTTCGACACTAGTTTAGAAAAGGTATTGTTTTTCTATTTCAAAGTGATTCGGAAGTAACCTCGCAGATGAGGAGCCTTTTCTTGCGACTCAAACTCTGTTGTGGCAAGAGAACATTCGAGCGGCGCGGTGATGTATTTCTTTATAACCGTGACGTCTTGTTCGTGGCGATTACTCATGATTACTTCACTATTCTGTGCGTCGTTCATACAGTATTGTTTGAGATTTGCGATCGCATTTCTTTGCTGCAGGAGGAAAAATGAGAGAAATTTTGCATATTCAAGCCGGTCAGTGTGGCAACCAAATTGGTGCCAAGTTTTGGGAAGTCATCTGCGATGAGCACGGTATCCACCCGACTGGAACTTATCATGGCGACTCCGACCTGCAGCTGGAGCGCATCAACGTTTACTACAATGAAGCCAGTGGTGGCCGATACGTGCCGAGAGCTGTGTTGATGGATTTGGAGCCGGGCACAATGGACAGCGTACGGTCGGGTCCTTTTGGCCAAATCTTCCGACCCGACAACTTCGTTTTCGGACAGACTGGAGCTGGTAATAATTGGGCTAAAGGTCACTACACAGAGGGAGCTGAGCTTATTGATTCTGTGCTGGACGTTGTTAGGAAGGAGGCGGAGAGCTGCGATTGCTTGCAAGGTATGATCAAATCCAAACGGTTTCCATCTTTCTTTGAAGACTATTGAAACACTTTGACTATCTGTCTTTTTGTCTCCAATCGTGCCTTTTTTTGTATTATCACTGTATTCTGATCTAACTTTGGTTTCTGTTTACTTCCGAAGCTATACTATCTATAAGAGTTTCTTTCATGCCTGCACAATGCTTGTCTTTTCTTCCAGCTTAAAATTTTGAAGCTCTTTCTTCGAATGCATATACTGTGCATTCGTTCACCAGTATACAAGTCCTGACATATGTTAAAGGAAATATGTGCCCATCTTGGTCTCGTCTATTGATGATTATTCTGTGCCTTCGCTTATGTACTCGAAAGGGACTGTACCTTCCGTTTTTGCTTTCCTTCCCATCTGTACTGCTGGTTGAGTTTGGGTTCAGGACATATTACTGTTTCCCTCAGACCGATACTCTTACGCAATGAACACCACGAGTAACAGTGTGTGGCTGTTGCATCCGCAGCACTAAGATAAAATTGGGTTCTTGATACCATTTTAGTGACTTCGCCTCTTTTCTATGTCGCAGGTTTTCAGGTATGCCATTCTCTTGGAGGAGGAACTGGTTCAGGAATGGGAACACTCTTGATTTCAAAAATCAGGGAAGAGTATCCAGATAGAATGATGCTTACATTCTCTGTCTTTCCTTCCCCCAAGGTTTCAGATACCGTGGTTGAGCCATATAATGCCACATTGTCCGTCCATCAACTTGTTGAAAATGCAGATCAATGTATGGTGCTCGACAACGAGGCTCTTTATGACATCTGCTTCCGGACTTTAAAGCTAACAACTCCAACTTGTAAGAACTCTTTGCGAAGTCCATCACATCTTGTGTGAAATGAATGTGAACTTGCAAGCATATACACTCATGTTTCAAATCGGACAGTTCCTCACCCCGAGGAGTTGGAAGCGTTTCCTGGAGGTGAAAATCTGGTTTTGTAGTTACTCATGGTCAATCTGTTGGTTGGGTAAACGAACTGATTTGGTGGTGGGTTCTGTTCTACAGTTGGAGATTTGAACCACCTGATTTCTGCAACTATGAGCGGTGTGACTTGTTGTCTACGATTTCCTGGGCAGTTGAATTCTGATTTGCGCAAACTCGCCGTCAATCTTATTCCCTTCCCAAGGCTGCACTTCTTTATGGTTGGATTCGCTCCCCTAACATCTAGAGGATCACAACAATACAGATCTTTGACAGTCCCGGAACTTACACAACAGATGTGGGACGCCAAGAACATGATGTGTGCTGCGGATCCCCGTCACGGACGCTACTTGACAGCCTCAGCTATGTTCAGAGGTCGGATGAGCACAAAGGAAGTTGACGAGCAGATGTTAAACGTCCAGAATAAGAACTCTTCTTATTTTGTTGAGTGGATTCCAAACAACGTGAAGTCCAGTGTCTGTGACATTCCTCCGAAAGGTCTCAAGATGGCATCCACGTTCATTGGTAACTCCACCTCGATCCAGGAGATGTTCAAGCGCGTAAGTGAACAGTTTACTGCCATGTTTAGGAGAAAGGCCTTCCTACACTGGTACACTGGGGAAGGCATGGACGAGATGGAATTTACTGAGGCTGAAAGCAACATGAACGATCTTGTTTCTGAGTATCAGCAATACCAGGATGCGTCAGCTGAAGATGAAGGCGAGTACGATATTGAAGAGGATGGAGTTTGAGCGAATATGGGCGTTTATAACTTTTTGATTATGTTCGAATTGCTGTCTGCCAAGCAGTAGTGGGTACAGTTAAATTTGGTAGATGTGGTATTCGAATCAGCCAGTACCGGAGCATATAAACGCAGTGAGGCTCAAACTGTTCTTTGAAACATGTTTCCACACTTCTGACCTTCTCAGGACAACATTACAACGCTATGAACGGAAGGTACATCTCTTGATAGGTATTTCTCCAAGATGACTTTATCTTGTACTGCTGTATTCACAAGCTCTTACCTTTCTATGACCTGCTGTAATTATCCGTCTGAAATTATTGGTTGTTTTCGTCGTTATTTCCTTGGCCACTGTTATCAGCAAATCGCTTACTGGCCATGAGAATGAGATTAAGTATTGGCAGTTGCCGCAAGTATTTCAGATTGAAAATGAAATATAAAACCTAACTTGAAACTAATGAATGTAATAAATTGTATCAAGCAAGGAATATAATGTTGAAATGCATCAAATTAATTCAAACTAATGCCTTCCATCAGTAAGAAAAAAAAAAAAAATTGAATGTTGAAGGGAGAACTACAATGTTCACGACGTGGAACTTTCTTCGTGGGTTACTGGGAGAAAAGTAGCAACTTTCGTTACCATATCGTAGAAAGTATCAATACTTCCAACCTTAATGGTACAAAATATATATACTTCGACATTCACTATCTCATTTACATAAACGTCCCTTTAATCTTTCACATCCACATCCCCAACATCATTCATATTGACATCCCATATACCGATCACATGAACATTCTGTAAACGAATGTTGCACTACCCAACTGGAACAGAAGCTGTGAACGTTGGTTGATGGAAACCGATAATGGCCGACCGCCACAGTTTCAAGTGAATGAATGTTCTGAACTTTGCAAAACAGCATGTTGCTGAAGTACTTAAGTTGCAATCAGGTTGTTTCTAGACATCCGATTTGCACAATGAAATTATGAACAATTTGATTCTTCCCCAAAGGCCACTTCACCAGGTTTTGTACATCCTCACCGGCACTCTGCGGTATTCACAACTAGCTTCTCAATAGCGGTCTTGCAGTTGACAATACAGCCAACTAATTTGGAGAGACCACCAGGAGAATGTGCATCAAGGTTGCAGAAATCCGGAGCCAATCCAGAATGATCCAATCCGATCAATCTACGCTCAGTGTACTTTACATAAACTGGGTTGGCAAAATGAGCTGTGCACAATCCTTGAAGTATTTCATTTGCCTCGAGGATATTTCATTATGCAGTTGATTGCTCTTGAACTTACGCGTAAGATTTGCGATAGCCAACCCTTTCTGGGTTCCTATACGCGCAACATCCGCAGGAATAAACGAAGATGAGAATAACTAGCACAATGATGTTGACGATGGCAACTCTCCGCCAGTTCGACTTAACATTTTGCAACACCCCGGCCTTGCATGCGTTACACTTCAGACACAAATCTTGACTGTTCCAACTGCGACAGTCAGTGTCTGGGGCCGCGGAACCAGTTCCCACCCAATCTGTTGCATTCTTGCCGAAGATGAAGTTGCAGTCCGAGGGTGGCTTGCAGCACCCAGACTTGAGAAGAGAAAGTGTTAATAAATTCGAGTTAGAAAACTTCAGTTTTGACGTAGGGTGACTGAATTCAACTAAGTGTACAACGCGACAAGCATGCTAATGCATTATTCTACTATTAGACAGAATAGTATGTAATTAGACATAAGCCCGAAGGTTCTGGACAGCGCGTTTTCCGAAGGGAAAAATACATGAATAAAAACTTTACTTCATACTTTAGGATGCTGATAAAAGAACATACCTCGAGAGGGGTGAGAGCTGCTTTGTTGAAAGCATCCACGGAAGTGTACTTGGTAGCCAAATTATTACACACCTTAGAATCGGCTATACAGCTTTCAATCTTACTCCAATACGCAGTATCGTTCACCTTTCTTTGTAACCAATTGGAATAATCACCGAGTCGGTATTCCTTGTAGCCTTTACCGGAGACCACATTTCCAGCCCCAGAATGGGTTACCACGAATGCGAAGACAGTGAAACAGAAGAGAAGGACAATTAGGAGGAACATAACGATGAGGTAGAGCAACAGGAGAATTTTCTTGTCACAAAAGGCGCCTATCATTCCAGCCAGCGACATCAGCAGTATAAACACTCCGATGGCTATGATTGGATACTGCAAGAAGCGCACACAAACTGTATCTTGTGTCTTCGAGAGCCATACTCCAAAGACGATAATCGGTATAGACAAAACGAGCGTTGCAAGATTCAGAAACCCGGTGAGATAATTACTACACCCCATTCTGCTCCACTACACCCTGATTACACTTTCTTGAGTCAGATTCTGACATAACGAGAGCACCACAGTATAAGTACAAGATTCTCATACATCTACTTGAAAACATCCTACCACGATTACAGAAAATTCGCATTTTTCGACACATACAACGGAATTAAACGCGGTTTCTGACAGACCGACACTAAGACTGACTTTCAAACTCTCCACCTACTCCACCACAGAGACAATCGCGCAGACTCCACATCAATCTATACCAAATCACAAAATACGAAACGAAGCACAAAAAACAACTGCACACCACCAACTTTCCCTCACGAAAAGCCAACACCTGCATCAAAAATCTCGAGAGCTGTTCCACTAGGTAACCACATCAACGAAGACTCACACATACCTCCAGCAAACCAAGCTTCGATCACCACCAATTCCTCCAAACCTACCGACCCAGTGCACTTGAGGCGAAGACAAAAGCCGCCAGCGGAACACGAAACCTTGCAAATTCACGCCTCCAAATGCATATCAATACGCTCTTAGCATCGCTGACTAAACATCGCGCCGTAGCCTTCGCTTCGCAATCGCTTCAGCCGTCTCGTCCAACGAGAGCCAATTTGCCCGTAAGCTACCGCGTTCACGGGGCTTCGCCTCAATGCACTTCGGACTATCTCCTCCCTCACCGAATCTGCGTCCACTGCCTGCGACCACGTCCTCAAACCATATTCAAACTATGTTTTAATCCACATCCCCAAAACAAAGTACCGTCGATTCGATTCTTATTTCTTACAAGACCGTCCGATGAGGATCACTAGTCAGTTTACCAATTAACCCAGGTCCTCATTCGGGATGCGAATAAGGATCTGGGTTTGGATCTAGATCTGGACCCCATGCAATGAGGATAGATTTGCGTGGACGGATTGGCTGGGCCGTTCGATTGCTTGTAGATTCGTAGATTACCGGCGGGGTCGGAGCCAACTTGTTAAATCTGACCATTTAACCGGTGATTGCGGATGGCCCAGAGGAGTGACCTCACACTGCAGACATTTTTATGCTCTATTATTAAGGGGATTCAGACAAGGTTTTTGGGTGATATTTCACGGTGAAGTATCCCATGATATTTTGAAGTATCATTTGTTACCACCAAATCACCCACCTCATTAGCTGGGTGATTTTGAAATCCAAATATCAAAAGAGGGGCAAGTGAAATATCAAAAATAGTGTTGCTTGTTTTAACTCTCTTTTCTCTTTCACTCCATACCACACTCCTCGTTGACTTCTCCAAATCATCATTATATGAAGTGATACTTCAGAAACTTGAAATTGGTAATAAAGTTTGAATGGTGATATTTTGAATTTGATATATCAAGTAATCCTGGAAATTTTCCTGCTAAACCCATATTATTTGGTTTTCCAAAAACCTTAAGTTTGAATCCCCTTATTTTACCAATTTTGTATGTGCTCCCAATATTGACATCATGATTTAACATAAATCTTGAAGTCTGTTTGAAAGTGCAGACCTTATAGACAACCTAAAATTTATGTTTGTGTGTATAAAAAAATAAGAATATATACATATATATATATATATATATATATATATAATACAAAACTTATATATATATATATATATATATATAGTAGTTTTATAATATACACTGAAGAAATAAAGAATAAAAATGTAGTTCATAAAATTTATAGAAATTGATAGTATTTTATGAACTTTTAAAATTTTATATTTTTAATGTAAATTTTATGTTTTCATATTTATATTTCTAGAACCAATATATATATATAAGAAAATTTAATAATAAACTAGATTTTTTTATTAAAAAGACACTTAATAGAAAGAATGAAAATAAATCATTGTATGCTATATTGCTATTGTAGTTATATATTAGAAAAATCCATGAAAATAATTTTTAAATATCATTTTGCAATAAAATAAAAATTTATACTTTAATAATTTAGCAAAAAATGATAATCTGTACATTTTTTATTTACGAAAAATCGGTATAACTTTTAATATAAATCCAATGGCAATTCTATGATTTATAATGTTCATGATTTTTATAAGGTTCAATCTACACACTTTAAAGTTTTTAAATTTTTATTATTTATTACAACAATATAGTTTTACCAATATTTGTTTTTAAAGAATTATATGTTTTATAATATTATAAATTATATTACATTTTTATATCATTATTTTAGAATAAAATAGTTTAAATTATATAATTAAAAATTATATTAAATAATATAATTTAATGACATAATTAAATGCTATACTAAAATAATATAATTAAATAATATAAGTAAATACTGTACTTAAATGGCTTTTTTCATACATATCATGTATTTAAAAATTCGAGTTTATTATAAAATAATTTAAATTTTATTAAAAATTATACATTTTTTTAATAAAAAATATTATGTATATTATGTATATTATAATTTAAATACTTTACATGAATTTAATCAAAGATTTAGCATTTATTATTTAAAGAATAAAATATAATTAGATTTTTAAATCAATGATATAAATTAGTGTTATTTTTTATTTTTTTAAACGTAGTTTTATTTACTAATCTTTACATCTCTTTTGTATATAGAAAAATCATACTTAATATATATAATATACATAATATATACATAATTATAACCTCGATCAATTTTATATACATTAGGTGAGATTAATTATAACCTTGATCAATAAAAAAAATTATACATTAGGTGAGATTTTATAATTTATTTGGCTCATGCAATTTTGTAGTTTCCATTTAAAAACTTCTACTAGTGAATTCTATCATATTATACAAACATCAACATATTTAGAAGTGCTAAATGTATTCATGCATTGATTAAGAACCAAGTCAGATTTTCAATGGAACAATGTAAATAGAAGAATCACAAAAAAATCCATATCCAAATTAAGCCATTGAAGTTCATTACAACGATGGATAGAGAATATAAGAGAAAGTCATGCAATAAATACATGAAACATAACAACTAGTGCCACATAACAAAAAATCAAAAATTTAATGTTGAACCTTGTTGCCTTGTAATATGGCTATTAAGTGAAAGAAAGAAATAAATAAAGATATTATATTATATTATAAAAAATTAATTAAAAATATATAAAAAATAATAAAGATGTATTAAAATATTTAGTATTAATACTATTTATTTTTATAAAAATGACTTCTATTTCTTTTGTAGAACCTTAAAAAAGATAAAATAAAGTAGATTAATAAAGATAATATTATATTCATCTTTAGATAAAAGTAAAGAATAAATTTCATAAAAAGAAATTCTAGAAAATATATAGATTGTTATCTAAAGATGACCACTTATGAACTAAGGTTGAAACCAAATTCCAAGGCACAAAACTGCATGCCTAAGGCAAAGATGGACTTCTTTTGTTGATTGGAGAGCAAGTTTGTAGAGCAATCATTCATGTCATTCATGTCATATGGATTAACAAAATAATAGCCTATTGCATACTTAATGTGAATAATGCTAAAATGTAATCTTGTATTTGCTTACACAAGATCCTTCTAAAAAGATTTATTCTCTTGGTATTTTTTTAAAGTCAATATAAAACTTTTATAAGCAATGTAAAAAACCAATAAAAATCTATGCATAAAAAACTCCATATTTCCAAAGTATCCTTCAAAAGAACCTCATTTTACAATAATCATTTAAGCATCTCTATAAAATATATCATACATATAACAACTAGTAGCAATGTAATGACCATCACTACTAATGTAATATTCAAGCTTGTCAAATATTTAATAATTCTTGTATAACTCACAATACACATAAAAAACTCCACTAAGTTAATATTTTCTTACAAAGAAGTAACAACTAAATCATTTTATATAAATATTATTAAATTCAAGTGATGAAAGCAAACAAAATCTACATACCTAATATATAGAGTATTTTTTGTATATGCTAAGAATATAACAAGCATAAATATAGAGGCATTGAATAACATATCTTTTATATTGATAGCTTGAATTCTCCTCTTTGCAATAGAACAATCATTTTTTCATTGATTTAAAGCATCCTTTTATTATTGAATAAAATAAATTATATCTAAAATCTACTTAGAGAGGTTTTGTATTCACCAACTAATATTATATTTTATTTTAAAGGTATACTAGTAAAGTTTGAAAATCATTATAAATATTTGATAGATTTTGAAAAGGAAATTTGATTAACAATAGATCTAATAAGTCATGAGCTGAAAGAAGTTGTAATAATAGATGACCTAATAGATCTTAAGATTTTCAAAAGAAAAAGACTGTTCAATTAAATGACTAAAAGATTGTCTAATTTATACAACCATGCTAATGCAATATTTTTGATTTGCCATTTGTGCTCACATACACATCAAATCAATCTCCCTTATTGCATTGCTACTAAAGCTTCAATCTTTTATTTTCTTGTTGCCCACAAGTTGAAGTCTTTGCTACATCGATTGTGTACAAATTTATTTCCTCTTTGAAATCCACTTGTTTTTCTTCTCTTGCATCTATGTCATTTCCTTCTCTTTTTGTTTTAGCTCTTTTTTTAGCACTTCTACATAGTTTCATATAAGTACTTCATTAAAAAAAAATATATATATATATATATATATATATATCACAACTTTATTAAATTATTACATATGAACTCATTTAAACTCATCTTAAAAATTACAAAATTATAAATATAAAACCATAGTCAAATTGTTGTTGCAATAAGGTATGTATGAATGTCCATTGGCCATAGCTTTTATAACTCTCTTTAAAGCACCATTTTCTTAATTTGTCTTCTTTGTCTAAATTATACAAAATCACATAAAATCATAATTTTTAATTTAAATTCTACTTCAATTAATGCAATTTAAAAATATATCTTAACAACTTATCCCTTCCGTACACACTGCCTACACAAATCTCTAAAACAAGTCAAATATACAACAATATCTTCATAAGAATTCACTATGAATTTGCCAATATCATCACTTTTTTACCAAAAAATCTCATTTAACTAATACACATTCAATAATACATCAATAAGCAAAATTATTTGTTGAAATCAAAGTTGCAAATTGTCACTTCAAACTTTAAATCCTTATTTATACCTACATGATTAATATTTTTTGAACCTATCATATTCACTTAGATTAATTTGCTACCTACTTTGAGGACATTAATTGTAATCTACATCTATATACCATGCCACTTAATAGAATTTATAATGAACCCTAATCAAATCCTAAAGAAATCCTAATTAACTACCACCACAAAAGCCATACATTCAACATGTTTTATTTATATTTTAATCAAAAAAATTGTTAATATTTTTAGTATATATATTTGTAATAATAATTTATATAGAAAGTAAATTTAATTCTAATAATATATATTTATAAGAATAAATTGTAGTGGCAACAACCCTTAAAAAAAACCTCTATTTTTAAAAGGTTTATTTTTGGGAATAAATCCTATAAACGAACAACCATAGAATTTTTTTTCTAATTGAAGTTTTTAATAAAAAATCATTCTCATAGAACAAAATCTTTCTTGTTGTGTATGAATTTTCTAGGATTTTTTTTTCCCTCATCAGCCCCCTTCCTCTCAAGTTTTTTGTTAAAATAACATTAAAGAAAATACACCATTAACTATCATCATCAGAAACAACTTTTATTTTTGTGATTCCACCAAACAATGTGACATTGTCGTTTCCTCAAACATCATAACCAAGGCCAAGTGGGCCATTAACAACATTAATATCACCCAACAGCCACTCGCCCCAACACCACCTCCATCAACAACATCAACAGTTGCTCTGGGGTCAGTGATCCTGTGAGTTCCTTAGAGCATAGCCACTGGTGGTGCCAACGCTCGGGCCATCGGGCAGCCACGCTCTCCCGCCCTCAAAAACTTCTCCACCAAGGCCCCCTCGAGGGTGGGGGTGAGGGCGGGCACGGCGGATTTTGGCGTTTGGCTGCCGTGAAAACGACTTAGTGAGGCCGGGCCTGTCCTTTCATGGGGCCCATTCAAAAGCCAATATTATACCGCCACGTGTCACAGAGCCTGGCAGATACTGACCACCCTGCCATACGGTCGACGCCACCTGGCTGTCTCACACGGGCTCTGAGTGGGCCCACACCCTCTCTTTTGCTGTCCATATTGGCGGGGAGGGGTGGGGACCGTGCCGGGGCCGTCCCGGCACGTGCGCCATGCCACCACGCCATCCACCGAGATGTTGCGAGAGTTGGCGCCAACCGGTGGCGATGCTCTTACTTCACTGCATCTCCAGATTCCACATTCAAGATTCTAAGCAAATGCATCAAACCTAGAATGTTCCATTTGGATTCGAGCCATCCTCGTCTTCGGGGCTGACTCGTGACATCCTTACAGCTTTGCTCCAATTCAACCTGCGAAGCCACGATGAGCTTCACCTCGTCAAAGTTGTGGGCGACGACAACGGAACAAAAAACAGAACAAAAGAAAAGAAAAGTAAAGAAAAGTAGACCTCCAATGCGCATCTTCAGACGATGCACAGAATTCCTTGTTGCGCAATATTGATTGTGTTTCTTTTCTCGAGCTCACATTCGACTTGAGCTGAATTTATCAGTTCTGTGCATTTCGTGTTCCTGCTCAACACTCTTGGGGCAGTGACAACCACTTCGCTAAGTGTTCACGAGAAAATAATATAATAATAAGAAAAACGAAAAAAAGAACGAGCAAGAGAAGTGGAACGTGCGCTGCGAGCTTTCAGTGAAAGCACAGAAGATTTCGATGCAGTGGTCATCGAGGAAAGGAGCGTTTGTACGGTAGGGCAGAGGTTTGATCCTCCAAAACAACGTCCCACGTTTGTGATCAGATGTGCCATACGTCTGTGGCACGACTAGCCTGTATGGTCGCGTTCGTGATCGGTGGACCTTTAGGTGAGCAGGTGCTAGAACAGGTCTCTTGCACATGTTCAAGTAGTAAACACTGGCGGCGTTTGCCAGCATTACAGGAAACCTATCCACGTTCCACACCTGTAAGTAAATAATAATCAACAGCTTGTAGGTGGTCATGATGCCTCGGTGGGTGTGGGTGTGTGTGCATGGGCTTCTGCTTAAATTTGACAAGTTCGTGATACTCAGTGACCTCAACTGCCGCAATGTCAATGAACTGTGGCAACTGTTACACAAGCTCGCCAGCTAGGAAATGTGAACGATGGAAGTGCCCTTTTGGTGTCGCATCGGTTATGCTGCAAACATCATCGAGGAACAATAAACTCTAAAATTCAAATGTAACTCCTCGACACTCACCAGATGTATTTCAGGTAGACTCTCCTCAGTTTGAACCAACCAAGCCGGCATTCAAACAATGTACTCCCGCTGGAAAGATGATGAATCCTATTTCATTGTAAATGTTTTTGCGCAGGTCTTATGCAGAGCCTTCAAAACATAAACAGATCAGCAATAAGAGAGTTGTCAATTCTTGTATGTGGACCTACAACAAAGAAAAGAATTGGAAAGTTTCGCCTTCTCATACGGATTGCAGAAATGAACTCCGGAGAGCCATAACATTCACGAATCCATAATTTACCATCGAACGAATTCTGTTTCAATACACGTATTCGCTACTATAACTCGAACATTCTTTCAAATTTACAGCGTTTTCCTGTTGGAATCTGTTGAAAAACAGTTCTGCAATAAAAATTACCTCAAAACTTTGAATATTTCTATAAAATGAACGTAATTCATACGTGCAGAGGAGCCTGCTTCGAGATGCCGTCAAATTAGATTTGATTAAATGCACTGACAATGGTTGTCTTTTACTTTACGTTTAACTTGCACGTCACAACAAGGTCAGATTGCACCACTTCGAAATGCTGACCTTTTCCTGAACTTTTTTCGCATTCTGAACTAGGTTTACTTGTGTCATGTGCCCTCCTCTGAGGACGTCTGGTTTCATCATCCATGCATTAACTGCTTCCAAGCTTCATTCATAGAAGTTAAAATGAATATACTAAGGAGTACCTCTCTGCCGGGATTTCCTGCAGAAAATATTACACACAAATGACTCGCGTAAAGAATGCAATAACTTGGACAAGCAAAATGACTTCGATCACAACGTCTCTGGCGCCTCAGAAGAACACAATGGTAGAACCTGTTGTTAACACAGGTCTGGGGACTCTAGACTTCTACCTTCCGAAACGTGATTCAAACCCTTCAGAATATGAGCGAATATTGCGCATCGATCTTTTGTCAGATTCAGCTGGGAATGATTACCTGTAACTGATTTCTTTTTATAAAAAAAAACCTGTCCGTTGGATGCGAATTACAGGCAGGACACTCATTTTCTTTATCGAGCTAGAAAATATCCGAGTCAGAGATTTGAAACCTCACATGAATTATGGACATGCGTCATAGTAGCACAAAGTGCCTGGTAACTACGCTTATTCAGATATCGTGGTCATTATGTTTTATCACCTCCGACCCTCAAATCTAAAATTATAACCTAAACTTGTTGAAGAAGATCTAGCATAGAATCTAAATCAGTATCCAAGCTTAGCTATGTGGGATGTAGAAGATGACAAAAATACGATTATACCAGAGATCATAAAACTCAATGAATGGAGTCGTGGAAAACCTGTCCTGCTCTTGGCAAATCCATATCAGATGTGCGACGAGATCGTCTGGTGAAGAAATCAGAAGTTCATGACAAAACAGGCACATCGAACCCCAAATCTTATGTCTAAATTTATTCGCAAGGAATGAAGAGCGTGACATCAGAATGTAGATTGGCACAGAAAACCCTTGATCGTTAAGGGTTCCACTCATTAACCTTAATGACCGTCGATCAATCGGTGCTTGTAATATTTCAATATTCCAAGATCGGTACCAGACAGCCTGATCACTCATGACGTATCATCGACTCAATGTACGTTAATAAGGGCATGTCTTCAGGTGGAATATTCAACCCCATATCAATCAGTGCGACAGGTCTACCAGTATATGTCGGATAATAATAATAATAATAATCATAAGTACGAGATCAAGCAGGATGCCGGTTCATGACAAATACTCGATTAACACAGATGCACGACAAAACTGTGAGCACGGAAACCAATACTCTTACCCCGAAGCAGAACTTTCCAAGTATAACTGTCACCTCTCCCGACTTTTGGGTAGCTTTTGAGGAATTTATCAGCAAGTAGTAGTACCATATTAGTCCAATCGAAATCATTGATTGCAATTGCTAGCTGAAGTTTCCAAGAAGCCGTCATTATCTTATATTGCGGTCCGAGATTTGAATAAGCGTGGAGTAGTGTATAATTGGCTCGCGCAGCTCGTGCATCGACGAGTTAATCTAAAATATTGTATAAGGTTTCCACGCACTGCCAAAAACCTGGCGATTCGTAATCGGGCAATCTTGTGTTCGCGAAATTCTATTAAATACTCAAACACTTAGGATCATGGGACACCTGTCCCCTCAGTTTCTTGCAATATATTTAGTAGGAGCAATCTTTGATAGAAACCCAACACATCTATCCATTGAGCTCTGCAATGACAAGCCGTCAGGTCCAGCTACCACCCTGTTCAGCCTCCAGAACGTGCCCTTGTCCATGATCTAACAGCAGTGACAGAGAAGTTCCAACAATCCATGGCGACCACAATTGAGAGCTGCAATCGTGGAGTACGACCCGACGCATTCTACTCCATCATATTAAAATACCATGAAACCTAAACCGATAATTGCAGTGACAGGATGGGGCACTCTGCATCGCTGCCAATCCTCTGACTACCAACGGACATGAAGGCAGCTTTGTCAGCCATGATCGAGAAGTTGTCATGGTTCATAGTATTCATTGTCGCAATCAAAACCATAGCAAATCTGAACTCACTCCTCCGGATGAAATTCAACAGACCTTTATTATATTCATCGAGATCGACGGACACGAATAGCAAGGTCGACGCGGAGAAAGGCAACCACTCTATATTACAAATGCCATCCAATTCACTGCCAACGATCTCAGCTTAGGGTTATGGTCCAAAGCCGACTGTTCTCTTTACAACAAGAATGGAAACTCAGGGATTCCGAATTGTTCCCAACCTAATCCTGCGCAACGTGAACAGAACCAGCCACATCCTCTGCCTCTACCTCCAACGCCGGACTTCATCCCTCGCGAACATGCTTCGACCAGAGTGAGGCTTCGATGACGAAAAAACCAAGCCTCCGCAGCTGAAATCTGTGCGGCGATTTCATGCGCGTGCGGAATTGAGGAAAGTGCTACAGATCTCGCAGCGGCGAAGCTCCATCAGAGCAGAAGACGATGCGCGTTTTAGCGAGCTGGAGCTTGGAAAACGGAAACACGAACTTCCAGGATGTGCTGGGGATTCCAAAGCGCGATGGTTCACGTGGGCGTCTTCTTCCATGCCGCGGACAAATTTAAATTTGAATTCGAATTTCGGAAATTTGAAATTTGGACTACGGAGACGACGTTTCCAATCCACGCTCTGAAATGCACCGAGTATTGCGAATAAATGTATCGAGAGAGAGAGAGTTGTTCAAGCAACATTTAGAATTAGAATTGAGAGTTATAAAATTTTTAATGCAATCAAATTGATATAAAAAAATAAAAAATGAGTTGGTGATTATAAGACAATATCCTAATTTCCAATTCCAAAAAGTCTTTAAAATAAAAAATTAAGATAGTGTTGGAATTTAAGGTAGTTGGCAATTCTTTGGATTTTGATACTTTGTAGGAGTGGTTTGTATTTCAAAATAGAATGTGATTATATCTAAAAGCAAGAGTGAAACATGAATACTATTTTGAGGTACTTTGTAATCATTTAATGAGTTCCTACATAATGTTGCCACGTAGCTCCTAATTAGATAGTATATATAGAAGAAATGGCTTTTAATCATGGCTTCTAATCGTAGACCAAGCAATTCCAATATTAAATCTAAAACAATTGTGAAGCAATTGTTGCTACAATTATTGAGATTCACTACTATCTATTCTAAGTTTTTCTTCATTAAAACATTTTGTAGCTCATTATGAGGTTTTTTTCTCTATGGTTTTTTATTTTGATTGATACTATACTAGCCAATTTTGATATAATTGGACTTTCTATTTTATCACCACTACCATCTAGATTCAATGTTAGTAATCCTTTGGTAGATTCTTCATTCTTATTGTGAATATGATTGTGAGAGATTTTTGTGAGATCCATTGTGTTGCAATAAAGTGCATATGAAGTCATTGTATTATTTGTATTTGTAGGTCTTTTGTTAAGAAGAAAGGAGAGAACTAGAAAAATATGGATCTCATTGTTGTTAATGGCATTGGCATGTGTACAGTAGTAGATCTTTTATGCAGCTTAAAAGCTTTGTTTTTTTGTTAATTCAACATCAATCAATTTATAAGAGTGGTCATTATAAATTGATGAAGATATTTATCTATGTGCAATTTGTAGGCTTCATTATGTTGATTAGAGCATTATTGAACTTGTCATTTTATTGCTATATTATCCAAACTTAATAACTCAACTCCACCATTAGTGATTTTTTTTTGTATTGTTTATAGAATTCAATATAATTGAAATCATGTTGGAAATCCTTTCAATATTAATACATTAGAGATCCAAATTGTATAAGTTGTTGTGGTATATTACAGATGTATCTTGAAATTTGATAATTCATGAATTAAATATGATATAATATATAAAACTTAGCCTCTTTTAGCTATGTAAATATATTAATTGTCTTCTTTTGAGGTTTCATCTTCTTATATCTCATAAGAATAAAGTTATTGCATCACTTAATGTGCACATTCTTTAATGCAATTGTCTATAGCTAAATAGAATTAGTCAATAAATGATATCAATTTTAGATTTTTTTTAGGTAATGTTTGCTAGAAGATATTTTTTAATTTCATCTATAAATACTTGTAATAGTATTATTTCAAATATACATTTTTTTTTTGTTTATAACTCTACAAAGTAAGTAAAATTATTTTATTTGCAAAAAATGAAATATTAAAAATAAAATATTTTTTTACTACTTCCTTAATTTTTATAGATATATTTTAAAGTAATTTGCTATCATATTAATACTTAAGTTCTTCAATAATATAATTCTTCTTTTTACCTTCATTTAATAGCTATACGACAATACAATATCAAATAAGAACTTGTCACATAATTTTGGTTTAAAATATTTTAATATATAAATATCTATAGAAAAAACAAATTCCTATAGATATTTAGCTTTTCTCAAGTTCTTCTAGAGTAGTCTTTTAAATATTAATTATAGTGTCATTTGACTTATTGCCAATCAAACATATTATAATAGTCATTTTCCACAATTGGTGCAACAACTTGATGTATATATTCTTAGTTAACTGTAACATCTCTTGATTTAATGCAAAGTAGTAAATCCATGTAACTTCTTGCAAATCTATTTTATAAAAATCCACCTAACAAATATCAAGTCAAGAAAAGATGATATAAGTTTTTTTGTAGGTTGTATTAAACCAATACCTCTTGTTTTTTGTACAATTCCTTTCAGTGGGTTTTGCACTCTAAATATTAAAAAAAAAAAAAAAAAAAAAAAAACTCTTGATTTAACAATTACACCTCTTTGATACACTTAACATTGATTGTCATGAAATATTTTTATTTTAGAATATAATTATTGAATTAAAAAAATATTTTATTATAAATATACTTAATTTAAAATATAATAAAAATTACTTTAGAAAGAATAGGTAATAGATAGGAAAGTATTAAAACATTTAGTATTATGCTATATTATTATAAAAAAATATTTACGTATTTTTTTGAACCATAAATAAGATGAAACAAAGTTAATTAGCATAAATAATATTACAAGAATCTTAAGGTAAAAATAAAGAATAAATTAAAAAAAAATATATATATATATATCTAAAAAAACTTAGATTTATATTCAAAGAAGACTGATTGTGAATTAAGGTTGAATTTAAATCCCAAGGAATAAAACCACATATCAATAGGAAAAGTAGACTTCTTTTAATGACCAGAGTGTGTAATTAGAGAAAAAACCTGCTAAGATTTCTATGAGAATTAAATTTCACTTATTTGAATAAATATTTATTTTATGAAAGTTTTGCAAAATCAAGGTTTTTTTAAAAGACTTTATTTATTGTAGAATAAAATAATAATTTCATTTTAGGAAAAAAAATCAAGAAGTTGATAAGGTTAAGTTTTTAGATTTAGAAATAAATTTGTGTTGAATTTATGATACAACTTTGACCTAAATTAGAAGGTTTAATCTAAAGTTAGTGAATTTTAAGTTTCATTGTGTCTTAAAAATTAGATATTAAAGTTCAATTAAGATTTCTATATTTTTGATTATTTTTCCAATTCGATAGATAATTTATGTAAGCTAATGTTTAATTAAATTTTTAATATTTTTTAATTTAAAAAGAATATAAACAACACAAAAATTGACCATAGACAATAACAGATTAACATTAAGATTCAAGGATGATGATAGCCAACATCCAAGCATACTAAGTAGTTTTTCTTTCAATTAATAATTTTAATTATTTTTGAATTTTGTATACTTATTGTCAATAAGAAGATTTATATGGTACTATTTTTTTTAAAAATATTTTAAATCAGTATATATATATATATATATATATATATATATATATCAATGATTTATATTTGTATTTATAGTTATTTATTATAAATTTGATAAATATAGATCATAACTAATTTTTTGCAAGTCAAATATAAATTATATGTATATCTAATAATATATAATAATATGATTGTCTTTATTGCATTATGGTTTTAATTTCATGAAAAAAGTAATAAAATACTTTGAATATTTTGTTTTATTAAAAAAATCTCAAAAATCGTCTAAAATATATTAAGATATTTATATATACGTATATAAAATTATTAAAATTGTATGAAAAACTTCAAAGCAGTCTAAGAATTTTCCAATAAATGGTTTTGGACATCACTTAGGATTATATAATCTCTTTCAAAGAATAAAAAAAGACTTCTACAACCAAGTTTCTACATCAACTCAAGATATGTTTTAAGGCATACATCTTCTAAATCTTAAAAAGATTGTTCAAAAATCTAAAACTTAGCTAAAAAAAATTAAATCAAGTACTTTAAATATATATATATATATATATATATATATATAATGTATAATTTTCTCTTCAAAAGACATTTAAAACTTGTAATAAAAGTATAATTGTTCTAACTTTAGTCAAAATGTCTTTCAAGAGTTTTTAATGGTGCCATTGTAATATTGAAAGCCATTATTTATTTTCAATTTTTTTCCAAAGTACCAAGGAAGATTGAAAAAAATGAATAAAAAATCTTAAATTATTTTTAATCTTATACATTTTGATATTTATATTATTATAAATTATTTTAGAAATAAAGAAAATGAATCTTTAAAAATATGATAAATTTTAGAACCGTATAATTACAATGGTACAACCTACTCAACTATGTATTTTGTAATATTTAATTTACTAAAATTATGGTTATTATTCTAAAACTTATATCTTTTAAGTTTATATCAAAGATTTTTTTTCTGAATAGATTATTGATTTTTTCTAACTTTCATATTGTATTTTAGTATTTTAAAGCAATGTCAAAATAAATTCTCAAATTCTAAATCTAAATCCTATTACAAATTTTAATTTAATAAATTCTAAAACTTCTTTAAATGCCTCAACTACAAATTTTATTATTTTATTTTCTATACTAGTTTTTGAACTTAAATTTTAAAATTTAAAGTTTTATTATTAATTATTATATAATATTATTATTTTTTGCAACAAGTTTTATATTTTGAGATATATATATTATTGTGCAAGCATAATTAATAGGTCATTATTTGATTCAATAATAAAAATTATTTATTATTTTTTAAAAAATAGTATTTATTTTTAGTATGATTATATTAATAAATAGTCATAAATAATTCAAAAATAATTTAAAAATATTGTGGGAATAAATTAAACTCAATTTAATTTTTCAAACTTTTAATCTTTGTATGAACTACAAATTCATTTGAATTACTTAACATGTATTTTAAAAACAATGTTGAAATTAGTTTGGTCAAAAAATAATTATTGTGGCTTATAATGTGGCCATGAGATTTAATCTTGGATTTTAAGTATGAAATTTATAAAAGCCATTGATCTTAATTTGGATTCATTGAGGTTTAAGAGTAATTTTTTTGTGACACAATCTATGTGTCAAAGAGAGAAAAAAAATAATACATTATAGAAAATCATATTTCAAATATAGTAGCAAATTATCTTAGAAATTTAGATAATAATTAAAGAGGTAGTAAAATTAATAAATACCAATGTTTTCTTTTTTAATATAGGCTTCTATTTATTTTTTTGGACCATAAATAAGAAATATTAAGATAGATGAGAAAATTTTGTTTTATAGGCATCTTAAAGTAGAAGCAAATAGTATGTCACAGCAAAAATTATCTGAAAAATTTAAAAGTTGATATCCAAAGAAAATCAATTATA